AGACAACGACAGCATTGTTGACTCCGTTGAAGAGATGGTGACACCATGTCATCCTATACCTGCCCCTGCTCTCATCATACATAACGTGCCAGGCCCTCTAAATAGTTTACACAAATTATCTCATTTAACTATAATAACTCTATGGACAAGTATTATTATTATTTCCATTTTACAAAGATGGGGGAAATAAGGCTTAGAGAAGTGAAGTGACAAAGCCAGTATGTGATGGGACACTGACCCAAGCTGTCTGAACCTTGAGCATGAGCTCTTTAACTATTACACACATGATACTGAGCTCTGATTCTGGAGGTCAGAGAGGGTCCTCTAAAGTGCATAGCCTGGCCCTGGCCAGTGTGATTCAGTTGGTTGGGTATCATCCTGTAAACCAAAAGGCAACGGGTTTGATTCCCAGTAGGGTATGTCTGGGAGGCAACCAGTTCATATTTCTTCCTCACATCATGTTTCTCTCACTCTTTCTCATTCCCTTCCCCCCTCTCTAAGATCAATAAGCATGACCTCAGGTGGATTAAAAAAGAAAGCACATAGCCTGATGCCGACATCAAAATCATCTGGTCAAGAAATCAGAATACTGGTTATCTCTGGGAGGTGATGGCTGGGAGGGTGAGTAGTGACTGGAAGGAGGCAAGGACAGGGGAGGTGGGAAAAGGGGTGACTGATGGCTGGGGAATAATACTCCTTTACTTTTTATTTGGGAGAGAGAGAAAGGGAGGGAGTGCAAGAAAGACATTAGTCTGTTGTTCCACTGATTTATGCATTCATTGGTTGATTCTTGTATGTGCCCTGACCAGGGATCAAACGTGCAACCTTGGTGTATCAGAGCAACACTCTAAACAACTGAGTTACCTGGCCAGGACTCATTGTTTTTATCCTGTACACCGCATTACAAAACTTGAAACACACAAGAAACACCAGATGTTTCAGAAGACTCCTGGAGATTCAAGTCCCTTCTATCTTAACTCCACAGGTAGGCTACCCCGAAGTAGGCCTTGGATTAGGGCTTATCTTTTTTTTTAAGATTTTATTTATTTCTTTTTAGAGAGAGGCAGGGAGGGAGAAAGAGGGGGAAGCATCAATGTGTGGCTGCCTCTCAAGTGACCCCTACCAGGGACCTAGCCTGCAACCCAGTCATGTACCCTGACTGGGAATCAAACCTGCAACCCTTTAGTTCACAGGCTGGCGCTCAATCCACTGAGCCACACCAGCCAGGGCAGGGCTTATCTTAATTCTAACAACTTTTTAAAATTCTTAAATCCTTCATTTTGAATTTAGCGTTAGGTTAAATATTCTCTCTCCAAAGCCATTCCCCCCACTGCACAAAATGAGTGTGTGAAAACCTCCAAAGAAGCTGCCACCTAGAAGGATACTAGTTAAGGATACTGCATTCTAAGGTATCTGTCCAGCCCTAAAGGATAATGTAGATCTACAGTTCTTGTAAAGTATTCTAAACTAAGTAATTCTTACATTTTAGATTTTCTTTTTGTCTGCCTTCTCCACATTTGGTTCTAGAGGGTGGATTTTTTTTTCTTCCTTTAATAACAAAAGGCTAACATCTCTTCCTTTCACTGGGCTATGTAAACAAAAAAGCTATTTTGATTGCACAGAGTAAAAATGCATTCCCTACAAGGATATAACATCCTAGCAAATAAATGAATAGACAAAAAAAAGTATAACCATCTATATGTGTCCCTCTTCATGCAGAGGGTGAGAGTAGGGTCAGAAGAGCATGGAAAGGAGACAAAGAAATTAGTTGTATTCTTAGGAAATAAACTAATGTAACCAGCATTTCCCCCAACCTCTAGGCTGGGGAAGAAACAACACATACAGTGGTAATGAATCCAGCTGTTTCTAGCTGAACCCCCACAAACACAATAATTGGGATGTAAGCTAATGCAGAGTTTTTTTTCTTCTCCTTTAAGGCAGGATAGCAGTAGGAATGGGGTGATGGGGAATGGAGAGGACACTCAAGAGTCTCAGTGGCTGCTGTAGCCACTAGTATCCCAAACTGCTGCAGGTACTACCTAAATTCTTTCTTATCTAGAACCAAAGTGAAATTTCTGCAGCTAGGGCTAGTATCTTTCTCCTCCATGATCCTTTCTAGTCACACTGTCATCTTACTCTGGGGCAGACAGTCCCTTTTCCCATTATGGAGGCCTCCAACAACCGGTGCACAGCAGAAGAAACAAGTAGCTGCTTCTACTCTTTTGCGGTTCCCTAGAGGCTGAGTGGGACCAGAGAAGGAACAGAGGCCTTGATAAAACTCTCTTCCCTTCTGGGAAAGCCCCAGGAGATCTAAGACAGTCAGCCCTCTTCCAGAGAAAGCCATCCCTTCTTTGCCTCCAGCCAAATTTCCACTCATTCACAGATTGCTTCTCCCCCTGCCCACCTGGCCCCCAGAACGACATATGAGTTATTTTCTCCTCTCCATTTCATGGCTTTCCATGAATATCTATAAAACTAACCTGTTGGAGCATAGGTTATACATTCTCCTAGGGTAGATTATTTTTTTTATTTCAGTTTTACTGAGATATACTTGACAAATAAAAGTGTAAAATATTTAAAGTTCACATTGTGGTGATGTGATAAACATATACATTGTAAAGTGTTTCCCCCCATTTCGTTAATTAACATAGCCATTACTTCACATATTTACCTTATTTTTGGGGGGTAAGAACATCTATATCTGCTCTTTTAGCAATTATACAACAGAGTTATCAACTATAGTCACCATGTTTTACATTAGATCCTCAGATCTTATTTTTCTTATTGCTTCAAGTTTGTTTTTAGGGAGATTCTATATTTTATGCCTAATCCCCATAACCCTGGACATGATGATTTATACATGACAGTCAATCAATGCTTGGTGAATGAATGTGTGTATAAATAAGTGAATGAATATAGCTAACCAAATTTCATATTTCTGTTATTCCAAGATTAAATAAAAAGTCCTTCAATGATTCACTTTATCTTCTACTCTTCTTTACATCAGTTAACTTCTATTTCAAATAGTTATTAAGATCCCATACCACTTCCTTTGAAGAAAATTCAAAGCAGGGATTTTAATGTTTGCTCTACAAATAAATTTTTTTTCAAGTTTAAGTCTTCAAATTGCAAAGGAGCTCTTCAATCTCCTTTGATGTGAAGGTAGAAATAGGGAGCTGAGAAGAGAGAAAAAAAAGTATGGGAAATACTCCCTGAGCAAACAAAAGAGGAGGATCCAATACCTTAAAAAAACCAGGTAAGTACATGTAACCACTTTTGCCTCTGGGAGAGGAAAAACAAATCTGACTTAAATGAATGAAAGCGCTGGCACTAAAATAAAGCAATCCAGGTACTCTGTAAATACATATGCCCAATTGATTGTTTCTAAGGGAGAACAATCATTAAAATTTGAGTGATTTTTCACCACATGTATTCAACCTCAGAAAGATATTCTTCATGTGGGTTGCCATATACTGGTCTCTTTAAGACAAAATCAGCCAAAACAATAAGTCGGTCTAAGTCCAGAGGGCTCTACTGTAGACTGAACAAAATAAATCTTGTAGGATACTATACAGGCAGCTGGTACCCATTCTATCAATGATGATGCAGCCTGCTGATGAGCTCACTGATGATTGTCAGCTGAGATCTGATGTCAGCGCTGCCCCTGCTTATCACACACTAGGCAAAGAATATAACCTTTCTACTCTAAGTCTGTCATTGCAAATGTTGATAATAAATGAGTGTTCATGTGAATTCATCAATAAATGTTTTCAAGAACTAGGAAAATGAGCACCACTCTAGCTATTCATGAGTCACAATAAATGACTTCATGCCATTCCAGACTCTTCATCAATGCTGAATGAAGTGTAACCAGATAAATCAATGTAACAGTCAAATGAGGTCCTACAATAGTGATCGCCTTCATCGTGCCATGAATGTAAAGAAGACAGTTAAAGAGAAGGCAGTCCTATGGTAATATAATTGAGAGTAATAGCTTACTTCAAGAGAAAGCTTCCACTGCTGAAACCTCAACATTTAAAGAGTGCTAACTATGCACAATAAACACACTGAAGTTGACAGAAACCAGATTTTGTCATCAAGGTTTGTAGAATCTTGTTTTAGTCATGGCTAGCAAAGGAAGTTATCCTTATTGAAGAGATATTAATTTTTTAATACATCAATTTAAGTCATTCTCCAACTTTAAACTGATTCCACGGATAATTTGCAATAATTCAGCAACTGTGCTGGAGGCCAGATGAGATAAATAAAATTAATAACAAGTCATGAAATGCAGTTAGTTCTACATTTGAGATGATCTAGCTGACTCTCCAGCCCAGTAATTATAATACTATTTGGCTTAACATTATCAACAGTCAGGATGTATTAGATCTGTGCATGTGGGGTACAATGGCAGCCCTGGCCAGGTGGCTCAGTTAGTTGGAGCATCATGCCACACACCAAAAGGTTATGGGTTCCATCCCCAGTCAGGGCAAGGACCCCTGGTCAGGGTAGATTGCAGATTCGATTCCCAGTTGTGGTGCATATCTGGGGGGTGAGTGGTGGTGGGGCAACTGATTGATATTTCTCTCACATAGATGTTTCTCTTTCTCTCCTTTCCACTCTCTCTAAAATAAGTAAGCATATCTTCAAGTGAGGATTAAAATAAGAAGGTACAGTGGCAGCACCAATACCAAACAGCTGTCACCAGGAAGAGGAGACTACTGACCATTTAAAAAACACACACACAAAAACAATCATATTCCTTATTGAGGAAGACTCACTCAAGGTTCCAGGGTATAGTATTTTTCTATTTTTTAGTAGATATGCTTTGAGGAGAAGTTATTATGTGTACAAATATATCACACTATTTGTATACATACTCATTCTAAATCACTTATTTGCCTTTAGGCACTATCCCAGTTGTATTTAAAAGCCATTTCACCCAAAAAAAGCTTTCCCTTGAATCACCAAAGACTATATAAAATCATATACCTACGTACATTGGAATCATTAAAGATTTCTGATTCTTCACATTCACAGCAAAGTAATGCTGCCGATTCACTGTCTTCCAAATGAGAGCTCTGTAATAGAAACAAGATCTTTTCAGAGATCCAGACAAATGGGGCCACAAACTTGATGGAAAAAGCCAGCAGAAATCACTGAGTCAGTGTTAGATCATAGGTGAGAAGCTGCAATTCTGATTAGCAATTTCTATTTTGCCAAGAAGAAAAAGCCAACAAGTGATTGGTTAGGCAATTGGAAAGTTGATTATGACTGATTAGCTGAAGCATTTCTGTGGTTTGCAATTCAGGCAATGGGATGTTCTTTTTCTGTAAAGATGGTGCTACTAACTCTTCATACTATGTACTATGTACTCTTCCCAGAATGGGTAGAATTGTGTTCATTTATCCTCATATTCAAGGGTACATATTTGATATGGGAGTTTAGAGACAGGCTTTAAAATATAACAAAGTACATGACTGGGAGATCTAACCACTTAACCTGGCCTCATTAGCCCTCTGCTAACTAGTGATTATAAGAAGAACCAAAAGACGTGCCCTAGTCAAGTCTTCCTGACAGATTCCAAAAAATGATTTAAGACCTTTCTTCCACTACCAATCTCTATTTCAAAATCTGTGTAGAAGACTGATAAGGAAAACAGGACAATAGAATAAAACAATTAACTGGTAAAACAGTATTTTTCCCTTAAGACTAAAAACACCACAAAAAAAGAGGAGAAAAGCTCCAACTGTGACCCAATAAATTCCATTCAAATGTTTGCAGTTTAGGGAACAGCTGCTAGAAACCCAGCTATCCCTTCATAGAGATGTATACCCTAAAGTCATAAAAATTTCTTGCTACCACATGATCCAGTAATCCCACACCTGGGTATAAATTCAACTGCACTGAAATCAGGATCTCAAAGAGATTATCTGCACTCCTACGTTCATTGTAGCATTTTTCACAAGAGCCAAGATACAGAAACAACCCAAATGTCCATTGACAGACAAATGAATACAGAAAATGTGGTATGTACATACAGTGGAATATTATTCAGCCTTTAAAAAGGAAATCCTGACTTCCGCCAAGACGGAGGCGTAGGTAGAAACACTGTGCCTCCTCACACAACCAAGTTTAAAGACAACAAAGTTTTAGTAACAAAAATGCAGCCAAAACACAGAAAATTGAACTATACGGGAGTCCGACAACAACGAACCCTGGGTGAGCCAGACCGGTAAGAGGGGCGGAGCCAGCAACAGAGCAAGGTCTGGCAGGAAAGATCCCCTGGACCGACCCAGGCATGCAGGCAGCTGTTGGCCGATCCCAGGTGTGGAGTAGCAACGGGTGGACCCAGTGAGGGCGCAAGGCAGCAGGCTGACCTTGGTCACACATTCGTGCGCAGATAAACCAGTGAAGGAGACAGCAGTAAGACAGACCGCGCAGGCCCCAGTGGCAGGAAGCAGCAGAGGGGACTGCTATTGCCCCCACTTGACCCTGCCCCAACATACAGCATCACAACCCAGTGACCTGGGTTGCCCCACCCTGGTGAACACCTAGAGCTCTGCTCCTCATAACAGGCGTGAACAGACCAAAACATGGCTCAAGAAGAACTCCAAGCCCCAGAGCTGATAATTCTAAGCGACCAAGAAATAGCCAACCTATCAGATGCACAGTTCAAAACACTGGTGATCAGGATGCTCACAGAACTGGTTGATTTTAGTCACAAATTAGAGGAACAAATGAAGGCTAAACGAATTGAAATGAAGGGAAATGCACAGGAAACAACAGTGATGGAAAGGAAACTGGGACTGAAATCAAGGGAGTGGACCAGAAGGAAGATAAAAATGACCAAACAGAAAAGAATGAAGAAACAAGAATTCAAAAAAATGAGAGGCTTAGGAACCTCCAGGACATCTTTAAACATTCCAACATCTGAATTATTGGGGTACCAGAAGGGGAAGAGGAAGTGCAACAAGTGGGAAAGTTATTTGAACAAATAATGAAGGACAACTTCCCCAATCTGGCAAAGAAAATAGACTTCCAGGATATCCAGGAAACTCAGGGAGTCCCAAAGAAGGTGGACCCAAAAAGGAACACATCAAAGCACATCATAATTACATTACCCAAGATTAAAATGAAGGAGAGAATCCTAGAAGCAGCAAGAGCTAAGGGGACAGTCATCTACAAAGGAGTTCCCATCAGACTGTCAGCTGATTTCTCAACAGAGACCTTACAGGCAAGAAGGGGCTGGAAAGAGGTATTCCAAGTCATGAAAGGCAAGGACCTACATCCAAGATTGCTCCATCCAGCAAAGCTTTCATTTAGAATGGAAGGACAGATAAAGTGCTTCTCAGATAAGGTCAATTTCAAGGAGTTCATCATCACCAAGCCCTTATTATATGAAATGTTAAAGGGACTTATCTAAGAAAAAGAAGATAAAAAATATGAACAGTGAAAGGACAGCAAGCTCACAGTTATTAACCACATCTAAAACAAAAGCAAACTAAGAGGACAGCTAGATCAGGAGCAGAACCATAGAAATGGAGATCACATGGAGGGTTAGCAACAGGGGACTGGTAGGAGAAGGGGGAAGAATGTACAGAGAATAAGTAGCATAGATGGTAGGTAGGAAATAGACAGGGGGGAGGGCAAGAATAGTATGGGAAATACAGAATCTAAAGAACTTGTGACACATGGACAAACAAAAGGGGGGAGGGGTGGGAGAAGGGTGTGCAGGGTGGAGGGGAATGAAGGGGGGAATAGGACAACTGTAATTGCATAATCAATAAAATATTTTAAAAAAAGAAAAAGAGCCCTGGCTGGTGTAGCTCAGTGGATTGAGCGTGGGCCTGCGAACCACACGATCGCGGTTCGATTCCCAGTCAGGGCACATGCCTGGGTTGCAGGCCGGTTCCCTGCAGGCCAGTTCCCAGCAGGGGACGCACAAAAGGCAACCATACATTGATGTTTCTCTCCCTCTCTCCTTCCCCCACTTCCCCTCTAAAGATAAATAAAATAATAAAATATTTAAAAATAAAAAATAAAATAAAAAAAGAAAAAGAAAAGCACTTAGCATGACTTAGCTACTGATGTTGCTACTACTACTTCTAACAACAACAATAATAAATGTTACTATAGTTATAATAATCTCATTTCTACATGTAAAAGGCTTACACATTTGGGTTACATTCTTTTTCAAAGAAACTTTTGCCATGTAAGGAATTTTTGTTTCTATAAAATTGTAAGTTTTTCACTTCTAAATAGAGTCAAATTTGTATTCCCTATATACTTCTGAAGTACTGAGCTTACAGTGAGTTATTTGTTATCATTTATTGTACCCTTACTATGTACTAAGCACTTTTCTGGGTGCTGAATAATTAAGTAAAACTCCAAACCAAAGATACTGAACAGGTTCCAGAAATAGTGTTGTTTTTTTTTTTTACAGATATCTAAAATCCCACAAAATATAAGGATATGGCTGTGTAGCCAGGTATGCCCTTTGGCCAAGTATTGTTTGGAGAAAAACATGGGCTAAAGTTGTTGGTAAGGAAAACACATCCATATGTAACAAGAAGTATCAAGAACATCTACATAACAATTACAGTAATAAGACATAGCAATCATTATATGGAATATCTGGTGCAAGGACTAAGAAGGAAGTTTTGAAGAGCATTAAAATCTAGCTTGTGTAGTTACCTAACAGTCTTTAAGCAGAAGTCTTTAAGTAGTAATTTATTTACTTATTTTTAATTTAAATTATGTTATTGTTGTTCAATTACAGTTGTCTGTATTTTCTCCCCACCCCTCCAAACCCACCTCCCTCCCTTGCTTCCACCCTCCCCTTGGTTTTGTCCATGTGTCCTTTATAGTAGTTCCTGAAAACCCTTCTCCCCACTGTCCCCTCCCCATACCCCTCAGGCTATTGTTAGATTGTTCTTAATTTCAATGACTCTGGTTATATTTTATTTGGTTTTTACTTTTGTTCATTATGTTCCAGTTAAAGGTGAGATCATATGGTATTTGTCCCTCACCACCTGGCTTATTTCACTTAGTATAATGCTCTCCAGTTCCATCCATGCTACCACAAAGTGTATAAGCTCCTTCTTTCTCTCTGTTACGTAGAATTCCATTGTGTAAATGTAGCATAGTTTTTTGATCCACTCATTTGCTGAAGGGCACTTAGGTTGCTTTCCAGCACTTGGCTACTGTAAATTGTGCTACTATGAACATTGGGGTACATAGGTTCTTTTGGATTGGTGTTTAAGGGCTCTTAGGATATAATCCCAGCAGTGGAATTGCTGGCTCAAAAGGCAGTTCCATTTTTAGTTTTTTGAGGAAGCTCCATACTGTTTTCCACAGTGGCTACACCAGTATGCATTCCTACCAACAGTGCATTAGGGTTCCCTTTTCTCCACATCTTCTCCAAAACTTGCTTGTTGCTTTGTTTATGATGGCCATTCTGACTTTGCATCTCTCTGATGGCTAGTGATGCTGAGCATCTTTTCATGTGTCTCTGCTCCTTCTGTATGTCCTCCTTGGAGAAGTGTCTGTTCAAGTCTTTTGCCCATTTTTTTTAATTATTATTTTTTTGTCTTCCTGGAGTGAAGTTGTGTGAGTTCTTTATATATTTTGGAGATCAAGCCCTTGTCCAAGGTGTCATTGGCAAATATGTTCTCCCATACGGTTGGCTCTCTTTTCATTTTAGTGCTGTTTTCTTTAGCTATGCAGAAGCTTTTTAATTTGATGAGGTCCCAATTGTTTATTCTTTCTTTTATGTCCCTTGCTTTAGGGCACACATCCATGAAGATGCTGCTGCATGGAATGTCTGAGATTTTCCTGCCAAATATTTTCCTGTAGAACTTTTATGGTGTTACGACTTATATTTAATTTTTTTATCCACCTTGAATTTATTTTTGTGTATGGTGTAAGTTGGTGGTAGAGTTTCATTTTTTTTTGCATGTAGCTGTCCAGATCTCCCAACACCATTTGTTGAAGAGATGCAAACAGAAGTCTTAACGAGTAAGTCCACAAGAGTCAAAACCTGTTGTTACTATTAAGTCTCTTATTCTATTCATTTTAG